TCTCTCTCTCTCTCTCTCTCTCTCTCTCTCTCTCTCCCTCTCCCTCTGCCCTACTTCCTGGTATTGTCCTGAGCTGCTGTCCTCAACCACACTCTTTCACCATGATGTTCTGCCTCACCTAGAACCCCAAGGAATGGACCATGTCTTCAATGGAGACCTCTGAAACTGTGAGTCACAAAACAAACTTTTCTTCTTCTAATCATTCTTGTCAGGTCTTTTGGTCAAAGCAGTGAAAAACCTGACTAAAACAACCACATTTAGAATTATTGTGCCTGTCAATTTGATTATTTTTGCAAGTGTCATAATTATTTTTCTTTCAAGATCTTTTCCTGCATTCTTGTTAATCATAACTACTAAATTTTAAAAGGCTAAGAGTGAAAGATATGCAAACATATAGCAATCTACCATAAAGAATTATGTGTCCATGAGTACCAAGAGATGTTGACAAAAATCCTCAATCCAGATGTCCATGAAAAATAAATTCAAGGATATTATGATAATGGAATATCATATAGAAAGAGACTGAATGAACTAGAGCTACAAATAACAGCATGGCTGAATGTCACAAACAGCCAGGATATATACTATTGATAACAGTGCAAAACTGGAAAAAACTAAACTACAGCATTGGAGATTACAGTGATATCTTTGGAAAGATGGGGCCCAACAGGAAGTTTGGGTGATGGTAATGGAAACTTCCTGTTGGGAATTTTTAAAACATTTTATAAAATGCTATGACTGTATAGAATCCACTTACAAATTGTGAAGGGGGAAAAGAAGACTATACTATCTAATTTTTCTCAACCTCACTGTGTGCAAGGCCCTCAGACTGCTTTGGGTCCCCTGGATTGATAAAAGTATCCAAACAGCCTCTTGTATTTAGTCACTTTGCTGAGTCTGTCCCTTCTAACATGACCCAGTCATTAATCAATGCAGTTGAGTGGATAACTTACCCTATTAATTCTGTGACATACAAGGACACTTCTAGAGAGAACACATAAAACTATCAGAGTTGATGGTACTACATCCCATTACAACATTGATGGGGTTTTTTGATGATGTGGTTGAAGGGGTGCTTAGGAGAAGAAGAAATAAGAGACAAATATGCTTGAAAGTCTGAAAAAACAACTATTTGATTTTAACGTCTGGCCTCAATTTTTATGTCTAGAAAGAGCAAAGTTGAATTAAATGCCCTCTACTTTCTTCACTTTAGAACTGTTTGATTACTTTCATTGAAGCCAAAGGCTAAGAGTTGCAGTTCACTTCCACATCTGCCTCTCCCTAGAGAAATTCTAAACAGAAACCAGGTTCCCTTACCGTCCAACTATCAGGAGCTCTTTCTCTGATGCCTGCTTTCGAATATTGGTATAGATGTCAATGGAGAAGAGAGTGCTGGCACTATTGAAGATGGATGTCAAGGAGCTCATGAGAGAGGCCAACATAACAGACAGCATCAGACCTCTTAGTCCTAAGGCCAAGAGAAAGTGCAAACGTCATTTAGCAATTGGATGTCATGGTCTACAAGGTTTTTGCTAAAAACAGAGAGCCATATAAAGATAAAAATGTCACCTGGAACATTGATTAACTACTGCAGTTGTAGTTTCTTTTTACTTATTTATATACAATAGCAGAATGCATTAAATTCTTATTACACATATAGAGCACAATTTTTCATATCTCTGGTTGTATACAAACTATATTCACACCAATTCGTGTCTTCATACATATACTTTGGATAATAATTACCATTACATTCAACCATCATTTCTAATCCCATGCCCCCTCCCTGCCCTTCCAACCCCTCTGCCCTCTCTAGATTTCGTCTATTCTGCCCATGTTCCCTCTCCCTATCCCACTATGTATCAGCCTCCTTATATAGAGAAAACATTTGGCATTTGGTTTTTTAGGATTGGCTAACATTTTAATAATGATCCAGTACATAATTTTAGTACTAATTATAAGCATATTTATAAGCTAAAAACTAATTTTGGAAAAGAGTGAAGAATCCAGTATCATATTTCTTTGGAAAAGAAGGTCTTGGTTTCCTGAAGAGTTTGAGAACCAGAGAAGTAGAGGCCCAGTAGATAGCACTGCTGAAAAGCCCTTTGGTTTGGAAAAGTTGAGGGTTTTGAAACACAATGGAAGGTCCATACTTCTCACTTCAGTTCCTTCTGCCCCTTAGTAATGGACCTAAATCTGCTAGGACAGAGTAGAAGATGGTCTTGATCCTGAAAGAGCAAAGGTTCTAACAGAACCTGCATCTGGTTCACTCTTTATCTACAGGCTCATCATATGGTTGGCAGCATGTGGAAGGGGCTCATGAAATATCTGAATAGAAATGAATTAATGGAAGTAAGAATACTAAGGTTTATTCTACAACCCTTCCTGATGGCCTATCCATAGAACAGACATCTGAAGATGTGTAAGCAAGGACATTAACTTACCAGCAGGCATCAGTACCAGCACCAGCATTGGGTAGGCATAGTTAGTGCAGCCGACTTCAACACCACAGTGCTTCACACATTCAGAAGGTACAACACAGGCAACTATATCTGCAGAGATGTGTGGAGGTTAGTGCAGTGAGCAGGCAAAACCCACAAACATTGAACAAAGAGATAATGTATAAGACCATTAATGGGAGGAAATATATTTTCTTCAAAATTGGAGATTCTGCTTTGAACTTCATACAATGGATCCTGTCCTTCTTTGACCAGAACACAGCATCCAAGTATCTCATCTCCAAAACTCCCTTGCACTGACCATGGGGCAGGGCTCTACTTTGGGAGATAATGTGGCCAGATCATTAATGCAAATAGAAAGAGCTGATCCCATCTTCCAGAAAATGGCAAGAGAACCAGTTCTCCCAGGAGAATGATGCTCCAGAAGTATGAAAACACCCAGGAAGCTAGGCCCAGTGTCCAGTCACATTTTTCTCAGTGTAATTTGCCTACATCTAGGAAGATATCACTGTGATGGTTAATATGAGGTATGAAGCCTCACTTCTGTGGCAGGTGATGAAATTTTGCTTAGCAATATTAGGACAACAGATATGAAAAAGTGTTGCATATCCACCCAGAATAATAATACACTAGCACAGCATCTTCTTTTCATTTTGTTTTTTTCTAATACTTTTCCACAGAGAAACCAATATCTTTCAGTGAGGGAATCATCTTTGAGATAATACTTTGCAGTATTCTTTCTACAATAACATAATAACCTCAACAATTTCCACATTTTTGAAATAATCTTTTGCCCCTTTGTAGAATTTTCCATAAATGAGGTAAACAATAATTATTTGGCTATATTCTGCTAGGTAAGTATTGATACATTTTTTACTGTTATAAATAGTAAGAATTTCACAATAAGAAGTGATGTTTACCACTTGACAGTCATCTTGAGATTTCAGTGAAGTAAATTAATATTTATTTGAAAAAATACAGAGTGGATTTAGTGTTAGCTAACAGATTGCTCCTAATAAAAAATGAAACCCCAATTAGCCAGAAAAAGATCAGCTATATTTTCTTTGCTTTTCACAGTAAAGAAAAAAATGCTGATTTTTTTAGGGATATTATCTACATTAATAGCTATCCTCTCCTGAATCAGAAATGAATGGTCCCCCCAAAAATCTGATTCTGACAGCAAAAAATGATTCAATTCTACAGTTATCTCAGAGACCAAGAAGTATGAATTTATTTCAAGACCTTTTCAGTCAGAGATGTGATTAAATTCCATGACTACAGATCACTCAAGTCATCTTTGCCCAATTCTACCTCAACCTTCAGTGCTCATCTGTCATATTCTCTAGATTTCCTTAAATTCAAGCCACTCATGAAAATAGTACTCACTGTCTCAAATGTATATTAAGAGACAGGCAGGCATCATTAAAAATTGCCAAATTTTTAATGTCAAAATTAAAAGTGTCAAACTGCCAAATTTTCCTGCTTTTCATCCCCTTCACAAATCTTGAATTCTTCTTTTACTTCTATCCAGAATTGGAGTTTTTTTGGCGGGGTGGGGGGACAGGGGCATTGATCATGGGTTTATACTAAAATTTTAAAATATTTCTTAGGATTCATAATAAAAAGAGGATATATGGATTCATGGCTTGCCTGTATATAGGATACGACTGATCATTCCTGGCATCACCATGAAGAATATGGGCAGAATCTTCAAATAGCCACACATGATGCAGGCAGCCTTCACGTGAGACATGTTCTTGCCGCACAGGCAGCGTTGTACCATAATCTGCCAGGAAAAATACAACATATTAGTAAAATAACCAGGTAATGATTTCCAAGGAGGTTAGTGTCTTTGTTCAGGGTTTAATGTTGCAATAAGTAATTACATCATGGTTAGTGGAAAATAATGGGCATTAGAATAAGGCCAAGATTTGAATTACTACTCATTTTGCACATATGTGATCCCTGTGAGTCTGAGATTTCTCATTCATAAAATAGGGTTCTCTCTTGCAGGGCATTCTGAATAATTACTATGATGCATAGTAATAACTTTGTTACATAGAAATCAATACACATTAAACTACAATTAAAGTATTTTTAAAGCTCCAAGATTGCAGATCAACAATCATAATGTGCTCCATTATTTGCAAAGAAGTTATATTGATGCTACCACAAGTTGTGTAAATTGCGTCTTTAATATTGTAGGCATTAGCAGCATCTCCCTACTTTAATTATGTAATGACACCCTTGGGAAATAGACATTTTCCATAGAAACACCATAGACAATCATCAGAACTGAGCACTGAAACATTAATTTTCAGATTTCTTCAAAATATTCTGAGAATCTCATCTAGTTACAAATCAAATATGATAGCACTGGGGAAAATAATGCATGTGGTTTTGTAATTTCTACTTAATTTGTGCAGTCTTTTAACTGAGAATTTTCTAGCAAAGGAGTGTTTATACCTATAATGTCAAGACTTCTCAATATTTTTTAAAGGACCATCAAAATAGGGATGTCCTTTAGATAATCAATTTATTAGTGTTAACACTGGTATCATTTAATGATGGGTAAGAATATGGCATTTTTTAGACAGGTCTAGAAACAAACAGTTGACAAATAATAAGTGAGGACAGAAACCCTGTGAGCAAATAAGCAGGATCAGGTATCAGATCTAAACAAATGTGAGGCTGCTTGCAAAGCATAAGTCAAGGAGTCAGAAATGAAAGATATAATAAAGAAGGTTCTACAAATTCATAAAAAAATTTTTCATTATTTGACAGATATTTTGAGAAAATCAGTTTATTACTTGGGTAGTACAGACATTTTAACTATATAATTCTTCCAATTTATGAACATGGGATATTTTTATTTATTTGTGTCCTCTATTTATTTAATCAGTATTTTAGAGTTTCTATTATAGAAAATTTTCACTTCCATGGGTAATTTATTCCTAGGTATTTTAATTTTTATCTACTATAAATGGGATATTTTCTTTAATTCTTTTTCAGAAAATTTACTAGTAGCTTATAGAAGTTCAACTGATTTTTGTATGTTGATTTTGTATCCTTCAAGTTTACTGAATTATTATATATAGTTCTAATAGTTTTTATTGTGGCCTTTAATGTGATATTAGACATATATATCAGAATATATATCTCAATATGCAAATGTAGTCCCCACAACAGAGATAATTTTATTTACTCCTTTCTAATTTTCTAATGTTGGTATTCTTTATCTCTTTCTCTTGCCTAATTGCTCTGGATAGGACTTCCAGAAGTATGTTGGATAGAAGTGGTGAAAGTGGGCATACTTGTCTTGTTCAATATTTTAGAGGAAAAACTTTCACCTTTATCCTGTTCTATAAAATGTAAACTGTGGATTTGTAACCTTTAACCTATGACCTTTATTATGTTGAGGTACATTTCTTCTACACCTAATTTGTTGAGAGCTTTTAACACAAAAAAATGTACTAAATTTATCAAATGACTTTTCTGAATCTATTGAAATACTTATGAGTTTTTTGGTCCTTGATTCTATTAATCTGATGTTTCACATTTAACAATTTGCATACATTGAGCCATCCTTAAATCTATGGGATGAATTCTACATGATTATAGTGAATAAACTCGTTAATGCACCATAGAATTCAGTTAGCTAGTTTGCTGAGGTTTTTCCAACTCTGTTCATTAGTTTACTTTTTGTTATTTTCTCATATAATTTTGATGTCAGGGTAAATCTGACTTCATGGAATGAGTTTTGAAAAATTTCCTCTTCTAAACTTTTTGGAATAATTTGAGAATAATGTTCTTTGAACATTTGTTAAGAGTTTGGCAGTGAAGAATCAGGCCTTGAACTTTGATGAAAGTAATAAAGAACTTTTTATTACTGATTCATCTAATTACTCATTATTGTTCTGTTTAGATTTTCTATTGCTTCATGGTTGCATGTATATAGGAATTTATCCATTTCTCCTGGCCTTTAAATTTCTTCCTCAAACTTGGGAAGTTTTCTGCCATTATTTCTTTTTCTTTTTCTTTTCATTTCCATCAGTTCAAATGTATACATACACACATACACACATTTTTTTGTGGGGATACCAGGGATTAAACTCAGAGCACTCGACCACTGAGCCACACCCCTAGTCCTATTTTGTATTTTATTTAGAGACAGAATCTCACTGAGTTTCTTAGCACCTCGCTTTTGCTGAGTCTGGCTTTGAACTTTGAACTCTTGCTTTAGCTCTGCCATTATTTCTTTACATTTGTTTCTATCCCTTTCTCGCTTCTCCCCTTCTGCTTTTCTCCTCTTCTGCCCTTCTCCTCTCTTTAACTTTTTTTAATCTTTTTTTCCTTTTCTTTTCATTTAATAATTTCCAATGAGCTATCTTCAAGTCCATTCATCTGCCTTCTGCTAACTCTAGTTTGCCATTGAATCTCTCATATTTTGGCATTCACTTCTATAATTTTATTGCCATTATAGTCTTCTATTAGATATACCTATGGCAAACTCGTGCAGGGTGTCTACTTTTTAAAAATGTTTTTATAGTTATATGTAATGTAATTTTTGGATTTTTTTTAGTTCTGTTTTTGTATTATTCTTTGGCTTGGTGATTTCTGTCTGGTAATTAAAAATTCTTAAGAAAAAAAAGAAAAGAAAAATTCTTTGATTTGAATTAACATGTTTTAACTCTACATATTAGTGGAGTTCAGTGTGATATTTCAGTGTTTGATGATAAAATCCAGCCTCTCTTTATCCACCTGTCTCAACCTTCCCAATTTCTAATAATCCCTAGTTTACATCAAGGTTGACTTTTTTAAATTTCCATACATGAGAGAAAACACACAATACTTGTTTTTAAGTGTCTGGCTTATTTTAGTTAATTTAATATCTTCCAGTTCTAACTAGTTAGTTTAGTGCTCTTATATATTTCTCTCTCTATTAAGTTCTCTGTTTATGTATTGCTCTTCTTACCTGAGTGAGCTTTAAAACTGTTCTTTCAAATTCTGTCAGGTAAATTGCATATCTCCATTGCATTAGATTTAGTTCCTTGAGATTAATCTTAGTCTTTTGTTTAGAATATATTTTGTAATTTCTTTATCTTCCTTGGCTCTCTATCTAATTTTGTGAATTAGATAAAGAAACCACCTCTCCAGATCTTGGTAGACTATTCTTGTACAGGAACTATTTCTCTGCAATCATCCTGGCAAACGATTTCATGTAACTCTTTGTGCTTATCCTACCTGCTGTCTTTATTCTTAGTGACTCACAAGAAATTACAGAGTGTCAAGTCTTGCTATTGCCTTAAAGAAGGTAAGATAGAATTCAGTCTTTCGGGGCACAGCTCAAGAGATTGGGATGTTAGATGTTTGACCCATTTCCTTCTTTCCTTGAAGAAAAGCTGAGGGCCAGAGTTCATCTCCCACTCATTCTGCCCTACACCAAGGAAAATATGTGAGGCAGATGCCTGTATTCTTGATCAGCCTTCAAACTTGAGAAGGTAATTGTTTAACGTTTGCAAGTTTATTTTATCTTTATCATAAGAATTGAACCCAAGGTCCTGTGTATACTAATCAAGTGGTCTGCCACTTAGCTATGCCTTCAGCCTATTCATGAGCTTAAAAGTCTTGTTTTTATTTACTGCAGTGAAAGAGACTCAGGAGTGCAGATCTCCACCAACTCTGAGTCTAGTGAATTTGGAGCTGTTTCTGTAGGCAAATATTGTAAAGGTTACTCTTCTCAATGTACCTAGAAACTACTTTGAGGAAGAATCTGAAAATCTGGATTTACTGCTATAGGAAAGAAGTGGCAAACAGTGCTCGCTCTCTCTTGTTTAAGCTAGAATGTTTCATGATCTCTTTGAAGGGGGAACCATCTGGTTTGAAGTTATCCCTGAACAAATCCTGGAAAGAAGGTGCAATCTCAGAGTGGTCCCCTAGCCTCCCTTTAATGAGAATTTTCAGAAGTTTGTCTTAAGATAAAGTCAGAGGAGAAGATAGGTATAACCCCTCCATTCTTGCTGGTAAAGATTTCCAACCCTTTTCCCATGAGAGACTGTAGGACTGGAATTGTCACTGAGGCAAAATGGGGAAGAAAGCAGAGAGTGTTTTTATACTTGTTCGGGCTAGAAATGGTTCATTCTCTGTTGATAGATTCTCAGATACTAGCTTGGTAAAGGCCAGAACCATAGGGAGCTATTGGGAAAACACGCAGTCAACTCATTCCAGGGGAATCTGGGCTGATCCCTAGGGCTGCAGCAGCTAGAAGAACTCACATGGTTCAAAACATTCTTCTATCTTTGTGATTGAAAGTCATGGTGCCATACACTGTGCTTGCTATTCTTCAAGCAGGATAACTCTAAAGCTAAGCCCTCTAGTAGTGACTTTAAAGTTCAGCACCATATATGTGGTGTAAGCCCTTTCCACCCCTTGGGAAGATGCTGGGAATTGACTAAGACTCTGTTCTCAGTGGGGTTAGTTGGAATTTTTTCTCTGTTTTGATGTATGTATTTTCTCAGTCATCTGTTATATAGTAATTTTTTGGCAGGGCAGGTGGGATTCTGAATTTGTTTTCAAAAGAAGGAAACTTTCTGTAGATGTTTACTCTGTGTTTCTGGGACGGGGAATAGACAGGACCTTCCTATTCTGACATATTACTGATTTCACTCCTCCATTTGGAGGTATAAAGAGAAGATTTCAGCAATTCACAGAGATTTTGGTATTTAATGAGTAATAATTTCCAAGAAAAATTAAAACAGTGTAAAAAATCAAAATATACCACATCTGATTGGAGTTATGAATTACTCTCATATAATCAGAAAAATAGAGGCATTGCATACTGATCTGTCCAAAATTATGATATAGACATACTGGGAGGATAGGAAAACAAGAAATATGATACAAGGAATTGAGAGTAGAAAGTTAAACCCTCATCTCTCATCATGGGAAGTCAACAGAAAAATATTAAAACTGGAAAACCTAGAGGGAACAATATAACAATCATTTGAATAATGTGGGATCAAGTTACTGAGAAAATTTTGACTAATTGGATCTCAGTAATGTGTGAGCTCCAAGGCAATGTCTATGCTGACAGATCACAGATAACACACTGAATATAACGATTAAGAATAGAAATAAACACCAAAAAAAATCCTAAATTGAAAGAGCTAAAATTCTTTTCCTCTGAGGAGAAAGAAATAGGGTATAGAGAAGAGAATCAGGTATATATTTTTATGAAAAGCCTTATGGCAGTGTTTGATACTTTAAAAGATATATGTGTAGGTAAAACTAGAAACTAGATGCTTTTTTACAACATAGAAAACAACAATACATACACACATGCTCACCTGATCTGTGCACCAGAACCACACAGCTAAGATATTCATTCCAAACATTAGTCCTGGCCATGGAATATCCCCAGTGATAGCATCTCGGAAAATGTGAAATGCATCTGCCTGGGGAGTGTAGCACTGGGGGCTGATTGTCAGGTTATCCCCCTCGATCACAGATGGGATGGCATTCATGTACTTCTCTGTAAAGCTGTCGTAGCCTCCAACTTCAGCAAAAGCTGAAAAGGCATCAGATAAAATAAAATTGTATGAAATTTCAAGACACCTGATGATTATGATTGCTCCTTTATAGTGGAAGTACTAAAGCAGCTCCCTACAGCTAGGTAAAATCCTCAGGGGCTTCCCACCATCATGTCTTTCTAGTTTCTCCACTGGCCTCCACCAAGGCTGAAGACTGGTTTTCACATAATACATAAAACAAATAATTCTCTTTTTTCTCCTGGTGCTCTTTAAAGTTTTAATTTTGCATCTAGACTTGGGATAAAAATAAAACTGTTAGCTCACAGACAGATACTGATGTCTCACCACCACCCAGAGCAGAATCAAACAAGATAATAAGCTAAGAGATTCAGCCTAATGGAATTAGCCATCAGAAACTCCAACTCTTCTGAAAGGAACAGAAAGAAATGCCTCTCTTACTCACTCAAAATCTGGCTATTCTGACCTTATGTGCAATCTGATTTTCTGATGCAATATTTTATTCTGTTTATGTTACAATAAAAAAGTTGGAGATATGAGCAGAAATTGGAGGTAGCAGGTTAGATGTGATGAGGAAGAATGGTCAGACTAAGCCCACTGGAGGCTGGAAAGCCTAGTTAAGTATAAACAAGAATTATAGTTAATCTTAGAAAGATGAATCTCGACCTCTAGGGCCACTTCTACAAGTTAAATGATGCAAAATATATCCAAGTATTATATAATTGTAGAATTGTGGTTGGCATTAATTGTTCACTAATTAGTTGAACATTTACTATGTGACAAACATCATGCTATTGTGCAAAATGAAATTTTAAGGCAGCCTAATGTAAGACACAAGCAATACAAAGAAATTGTTAAAAAGAAATATGAGTCAGGCTCAGAGGCACATGCCTGTAATCCCAGCGGCTTGGGAGGCTGACAGGAGGATGTTGAGTTCAAAGCCAACCTCAACAATGGTGGGGCACTTAGCAACTCAGTGAGACCCTGTCTCCAAATAAAAACAAAACAGGGCTGGAGATGTGGCTCAGTGGTGGAGTGCCCCTGAATTCAATCCCTGGTACCAAAAGAAAAAAGAAAAGAAACAGAAAGAAAGAAATATGAGGGGTTAGGATTGTAGCTCAGTGGTATAGCACTTGACTCACAGGCACTGGATTCAATCCTCAGCGCCACATAAAAATAAATAACTATATTGTTTCCATAGACAATTAAAAAATATTTAGAGGAAAAAGAAAGAAATATGAGCCAGGCACAGTGGCACATGCCTATAATCCCAATGGCTCAGGAGGCTGAGGCAGAAGGATGGGGGGGGGGTTCAAAGCCAGCCTCAACAAGAGTGAGGCACTAAGCAACTCAGTGAGACCCTGTCTATAAATAAAATACAAAATAGGGCTGGGGATGTGGCTCAGTGGTCAGTGTCCCTGAGTTCAATCCCCAGTACCAAAAAGAAAGAGAGTGAGAGAAAAATGATTTATAAAAACCATATGGGGTTACACATGCAATAAAACTAGAAATCATTAACATGAAAAGCTTTTAAAAATTCTACGAATACATGGAAATTAATCGAACTATTCAAACAGCCAATGAATCAAGGAAGAAATCAAAAAGGAATTTTCAAAACATTTCTTGGGCTGGGGGCATACCTCAGTGGCAAAGTGCTTACCTAGTATGCCTGAGGCACTGGGTTCAATCCTCAGCACCAAATTTTTAAAAATTAACAAATAAAATAAAAGGCATTCTGTCCATCTACAACTACAAAAAAATTTTTAAAAATAACAATAAAGATAAAACATTTCTTGAAACAAATGAAAATGGAAACCAATATACTAAAAGCTATGGTATATGGCAAAAACTGCACTGAGGGAAATTTATAGCAATCAGTACCTACAGCAAAAGGCCAGAAAAATCTCATAGAAACAACCTATTCTTTCCCCTCAAAGAAGTAGGAAAACAGTAAAGACCAAATCCTAAATTAGTAGAAAGAAAGAAATATGAGAGCAAAAATAAACAAAACAATGACTAAAGTGAAAAAAAATAATAAAAATATCAGTGAAATGAATATTGATTTTTTGAAAGGATAACCAAAATTGGCAAACCCATAGCTAGGAAAGAGAGAGAAAGAAGACTCAAATAAATAAAATCAAAGATAAAAGGTAGAAAGCACAACCAAAATCAAATAAATATAAAGGAGTATTCAAAATCATTATGAAAACTAAATACTAACAAATTTGATAACCTAGAGTAAATAGACAAATTCTGGGACATATACATCTTGATAAGATTGAAACATGAAGAAATAGAAAACCTGAGCAGACCAATAACCAGTATGAATTAGTGATTTAAAAAAAAATCTTCCACCAAAGATATTATACCCTTACCTCTAACCAGTTTCAAAAATCAACTCAAATGGTCTAAAGATTTAAATATAAGGCCTAAAACTATGGAACTATTAGAAAAAAGCAGGGGAAATATTTTAGGATACTGAAAATGTTTTAGACAAGATCCAAAAATCATAGGAAACAAAAGCAAAAATGAACAAATGGAATTAAACAAAAGAGAGACTCCACACAACAAAGAGAAAAATCATCTGAGTATGAGAAAATTTACAGATTGTGAGAAAATATTTGCAAACAATACATCTTGCAAGGGGTGGGCTGAGGATATAGCACAGTTGGTAGAGTGCTTGTCTTGCATGCACAAGGCCCTGGATTCAATCCCAAGCACAACAACAACAAAAAAAAGCCACATCTTGCAAGGGGTTAATATTTAGAATACATAAGGAATTTCAATAATTCAATAGTATATACAAAACAATAAACTAAAAATAAAACCCAAATCAAAACAAAAAACAAGCAACAACAACAAAAAAATAAAACTTGATTAAAGAAGGGGCCACAGACCCAAATAGACAATTCTAAAAAGAAGACATACAAATGGTCAAAGGATATATTTTAAAAAGCTCAAGAGCAATAAGCATTAGGGAAAAGAAAATCAAATCCATAATGAGATATCACCTCCCTCCATTAAGAACAGCTTTGATCAAACAAAATGAAAGATAACATGTACCAATGAGGATGTGAATAAAAAGGAAAACTTACACACTGTTGAGTGCAAATGTAAATATCCATTGTGGAAAATGGCAAGGAGGTTTCTCAAAAACTTAAAAATTGAACTACCATATGATCCACCAGTGCCACTACTGTATATACATGTACAGGAAATGATGTCAGAATGTTGAAGCGATATCTGTACCCCCATGTTTATTACAGCACTATTAACTAAAGCTAAGAAATGGAAACAATCTAAGTGTCCATCAACTAACAAATAGATTTAAAAAAATGTTATGGAATACTATTTATCCCATTTATACAAAAAAGGAATAACATCATGTCCTTTGTGGCAATATGGATGAATCTGGAGATCATTACATTAAATTAAATAAACGGGGCACTGAAAGATATATACCACATGATCTTATGCATATGTGGAATGCACAATGTTTAATCAAACAGAAATCTAGAGGAGAATGCTGGTTACCAGAGGCTAGGGAAAGTAAGGCATGGGGTGATAAGGAAAGGATGATCAATGGGTACTGTTACAATTAAGTAGGAGTAAGAAGATCTGGTGTACACAGTAGGGTCGCTGTAGGAAACAATCATCTATTGTATATTTCAAAAGCTAATATAAATTATTTTTAATATTTCCATAAGAAGAAAAAAATTTTGAAGATATAGATTTTTTAACATTTTTAGACATTACATAATGTATAAATGTATTGAAGCCCCACATGTTGTACTAGATTAATATATATGATGTTGTTTTTATGTATCAGTTGAAATAAAATTAAAATACATGAATTAAGCTGAGAGATAAGATAGGCTTCTTATTGTAAAAGAAGAAGTAAGATTTAGAGCTCCTGATAACAGGGAGTGCACCACTGGAGCCACAAAGCACGGAACTATGTTCAAAACAGCACAGAAGTTTCTGGATAACTAATTAGACACTGAACAAGGAAGTGGTACTAGCAGTTGCCTCTTGTAGCATTACTGTACAAAAGATACGTTACACATGGGTGAAACTGTTCTACATCTGTGCTGTTCCTTCCATCTGATAGGCATTTTCCAAATACCTAGCACTAGGAATATGGCTTGACAAATGAGGAACTAAATTTTTATTTTACTTAACTTTAATGTAAATAATCTCAAATATATAGTATTCAAATCGTCAAGTATTATTGTAGACTTTATTTTCTTTGCATTTATATCAGTGTGTCATCTTTGGAGAAAAAGGAGATAGTAAAATACTATGTCATTCAAGAATCCCTCTCTGTTCCCAACAACCTCGTCAAGTTAAAGATGAGTTTGGGCCAGAATATCCAGATAAATATTACCTCAAAGGACTACTGATTTTCTCTCATGTGGACTAGGAATAATGGCAAGTTAGCATTATCTGTAGAAAACTGCTTTCTTCCATGCATACCAAGTTCCTTGAGATGCTGCTCATACAGTTGGACAAAGCTAGCTAAGCTAGTGATGTCACTGCTTATGTAGCCTAACTTATTAAAAACCCTCTCCCTGTGGAAACTGGTGCGAAATTGAGGACAATGTGAAGAGGCAAAGTGCTACTTATCTAGCTGTATGTCACTGGACAAGACATTATGAGGGATGAAGATGCTATTTCCAGAGTAAGTGTAAGAAGGGATGGAAGCAAAATACCAGGAGGGATGGAGGTGCTATGGTTTTACCTATTACCCTTGGACCTTCCCTATAAGCATTTTTCAAGAAACCTGAAGTCTCTCATGCTATCTACAGGTACTTTCTTTGATCTCTTAACAACCTATTACACTGTCCTTGCATAGCTAGGTATGAACAGTACAATCAGTTTTGAATCATGTATTTTCAGGCTCTGTGACAAGGTACATGCATATTGGCATTTTTCAGTATGTAGTGCAGCTTGACCAGTTGGAACATGGTGGCTTCAAGAACGGGAGTAAAAGAATAAGAATTCTTATTCTTTTACTATGTGCAGATATAAATAAATATAATAAAAACCCAAAATGATCAAGCTTAAATTAGATTCATGAATATCATTAGTTTTCACTACTTTAGAGAATAAAGTGAAAGTAATCAAGGAAAACTCCAACCTTGGTTTACATCTCCCAATAACATATTAGGTAGTGCATTTTAATAGATTTATTCTAAAATAGCTGTAATGAGGATTAGATTCAGTTTGGTAAGTTTTTCCTACTACTTAATCTTTCATTTTATGAAAATTTTATGTAACTCAAAGGTTTATATGCTTTGAATGAAATGCACCAGTGTTTGTCAAATTCTGGAAATCTAATAGTATGGATTTTGTCCATTCTGCCTACAAAGAAATTAAGGTTAAATAATATAAGTTAGGCGATAACTTTATGAAGGAAATAAAGTTCTTGTCTTCATTTCCTCATGCTGAAATAGGGCAGCAAGAATGAATTCAGTCATCTATTTCCATGGTGGGAATAACATAAATGATGGGGAAATGTAACCCAATAGAACTGGGAGGCAGTAGTAAAGATCAGACCAACAGAAATAAGTCCTATACCAAATCTACAGAGTCTAAGGCTGTGAATGCTGTGATCACTTACCAAACCCCATGAGAATAAAAGATCCAACCAACATGATGATAGCCTGGAGGGTGTCTGTGTAAATCACTGAGGCCAAGCCCCCTGTGAAGAGAAAGAAGAGGCCCAGGTCATTTTGTCCATGACTACTCATCTACTTGCCTTTACTGCTGGGTTCTCAACTAATCAAACCATGGAAATGACTCACAGAAAACATATCCAAAGCTCTTGGCTGAGCCACAAGCTTGTCTTGACATCATTATCTCCTTAGTGTGCGAAACTTCCACTTATAGCCTATCTCCCTTGTCCTGATTTAAAGTTTCTATGAATCAGAATGGAGTTCCATCTCCATGTGGATTTTTAAATTTTAAGTAGGGAAAAATTTTTATTATCTCAAAAGTTTCCCTGAACAATTTCTGAATTCCTCTCATTTGACAAAATACATGTGCTCTCAAAAAAAAAATCTGTCTAAACTGTTTTTGCTCTTGTTTTATAACATATCATTGTTCTGTTAGTTGAATACCTGAAACACTCATTGACTTGTATTTTGCATCAATATTAAACAACAACAACAAAACCCATTTTTTTTAGAATAAGGGGTTTTGGGTCCCTTTAGTGTTATACATGACAATAGACTTCATTGTGACATAATTATAAACATAGAATGTCAGGAGGGACCAATGATTCTCTGGAAAACAGGAGAGTAAGGCCCTTATCTCTTATATAATCTGAACGTACACTCAATCTATAAAAAAGGGCCAACACCCCAGCAGTGAAGCTGAGATCAACATCAAATCGGAAATATTTAAAGTGGATACAAAACTATTTCCACAATGCAGACAATTAAGTGTGTAGTGGGCAATGGTGCTGTTGGAAAAACATTCCTCCTTATATCCTACACAACAAACCAATTTCCATTGGAATATGTACCAACTGTTTTTGACATCTGTGCAGTCACAGTTATTATTGGTTTGCAGTCATGGACTCTGGAACATTTTGATACTTCAAGGCAAGAGGATTATGAGAGATTATAACTGCTGAGTTATCCACAAACAGTTGTATTTCTGTTTTTCAGTGGTCTCTCCATCTTCATTCAAAATGTGGGGGGAAAAAGTGTGTGCCTAAAATAACTCACCATTGTCCAACGACTCCTGTCTTCTTGTTGGGACCCAAATTGATCTCAGAGATGAATCCTCTACTATTGAGAAACTTGCCAAAAAAAACCAGAAGTGTATCACTCCAGAGACCACTGAAAAGTTGTCCCATGATCTGAAGGATGTGGAGTGTTCTGCAGTCACACAGAAAGACCTAAAGAATGTATTTGATGTGGCAATATTGGCTGCCCTGAAGCCTCTAGAACCAAAGAAGAGCTGCAAATATGTGCTGTTATGACCACCTCTCCAGATCCCTTTCTGCAAAGATGGTGTTGTCATTATACTAAGTAATATTTAAATCAAACTAAAAATTAAAAATTAATTTTTAATTTTTAGTTTGATTTAAATATTAAATTTAAATATTAAATCATGCCATGATGACAAATGCCCTACATCTATGCACATGCACTCATGTGAGACAAGGCCCATAGGTATGGCCCCTGCTTTCTCTCCCAATACTAGTTAATTCTGTGTAAATATGCATTTCATAAAAATGATTAGCACTAGTTTTTGTTTTGTTACTTTAAAAAAAGTTTTTTCTGTTGTTATTTTAAAGCAAGGCATGCTGTGATGACTATGTAACAGATTAATTTGTTGAAGTCATTCCCTGAATTGAACCTGTACAGTAACCTAAAACATTTTAGTGGCTTTTTGTTCTTATTCTTGTTTAATGAAAATCATGGAGAGAGTCTTGTGGACACTCTTTAATAAGGTTAATTGGGATTTTTTTCAGCTTATTTAGGTTGCAATTTTCAGTTTTTAAAAATGTTTAGGTAATTTTTTCCACCTTCCCCAAATCCTAAATCTTGTAGATTCATTAGTGTAAAAACTAAGGTTTTCTCATGTCTCAATTTTTTGAATATGCATTCTTTTCAAATGTATTAAACAAACAAAAAACCCTCAAAAATGGCTCTAGAACTGTGGGGGGGTTCCTAATGAAATATAATTGTGTAAAATTGTAGAACTCATTGTGATTTGTTTATAAATAATTTGGCCAATTTCATTGCTTAGTATCTATTCTCCCTTTTTTCCCTATCATTTTCCCTTTCTGATTCCTATTCTTTCTGGTCCATTATGCTTTTGATATGAGGTGTCCCCCCAAAAGCTTCATTTCTGTAGGAGTATTCAAAAGTGAAATGATTAGATTGTGAATGCCATAATCTAATCAGTCCTTCCTAGTTTGAATGGACTGGGAAGTAAATATAGTCCAGTGGGTTACTGGAGGAATGCCCTGAAAGTGCATATCTTCCTTGTGGTCCTTACTCCTCTGTTTCCTTACTGACATGAAGAGAGTAGTTTCTCTCTGCCATAACCTTCCTGCAAGACATTCTGCCTTACCTTGCCAAGAGCAATGCAGTCAACCACCTATAGACTGAGATTTCTGATTTTATGAGGCAAAATTAACTTTTCCTCCTCTAAAATGTTCTCTTTTTTTGGACCTGAGATTGAACTCAGAGGTACTCAACCACCAAACCATATTCCCAGCTCTATTTTGTATTTTATTTAGAGACAGGTGTCACTGAGTTGCATAGTGCCTCACAGTTGCTGAGGCTGGCTTTGAACTAGCGATTCTCCTGTCTCAGCCTCCCAAACCTCCCACACCACACTCGGCCTAAGTTGTTCTTGTTGGGTATGTTGATCACAGTGAAGTAAAGCTGCCTAAAAGAGAAATTGGTACCGAAAAGTATGGTCATTTCTGTGACTAACCTGACCATGTGGTTCAGAAGATTTTGGAAATCATTTGAAGGAGGAATTTGGAAAAGTTTGGAAATGCAGGCTAGAAAAGCCTTAGAATGTTATGAGCAGAACTTAATGAGTGATTCTGGTGGGAGCTCAGAAGAATATACTGCTGATTTGAATGCAGACTGAGCCCATGAAGTTTCAGAGGCAAATGAGAACTCTAATGGGAATTAGACTAGAGGCCACTCATGTTATCTTCCAGCAAAGACCTTGTTCACATTTTGCTCATGTCCTCACTTTTGTGAGGCTGAATATAAAAACAATGCACTAATTAAGATAGCAGAGGACATTACAAGGTACTATAGTAACCAGTCGGTGGCACAGATGTTGTTGGCAGCTTTATCCCTGTTTACTGGGAGAATCAGGAGCAGAAAGTAGCTAAACGATTATAAAAACTAGCCAAAAACCCTTGAAGTTTAACCAGAAAAGTACTTGTAAAATTGGGGCCAAGGAAGGTGTGCATGTTGAAGAGACTGTAGCCCCTAAAGTGATGCTAATTACTTTGCAGAAACAATGGGAAATGCTTTAGAGGCATTTCAGAAATTTCAAGACCACACCACGGCAGACTTGAGGGTATAGAAGGGAAAATTCCTTCAAAAAGAGATCATGTGGGTAGCCTGATTGCACAGGATGGCCTAGGATATTTTTGCACCATGCTGAGCCATGCAGTCACTCAGAGGTATTTCAGCCATGGTTCCAGGAGGCTGCAGTATCACATGTGCTGGCAGAGGAAATAAGCATCATCCACACGGTGCTGGTTCTGCAGGAATGCAGATTGCTACAGTTAAGGGGTCATGGAGGATTCCACTGAAAATTCAAAGACAGACCTGGGAGACCAGGCAAAATGTAGCAGAGTCAGAGTTCCTGCAGGCTGCCCTTGAGAGGGTGATACATTAATCTGTGAAAGTGAGGCCAAAGCTGGAATGGAGACCCCAGGAATTAAGAGATGCAAGTTATATGGACAGCCTGTTGAGAAAAACTGTTAGCTCAAGAGGAAACTAGACTAAAAGAGAGGTTTTGTGCACTTGTTTCACCATAAAAGTGAAAGGGGCAGGGCTGCCTATGCCCTTTGGAGAAAACATCTTGCAACCATATGTCCTAGATGCTATGCATGGAGTTATGGGACCTGATGTATGTGGAGTGATAGGATTAGTTTTCCTAGCTGGGTTTTAGTCTTGCTTTGGCCCTATCTCTTTTTATTATGCTTCTATTTCTCCCTTTAGAATGGGAATGTTCACTCTGTGCAACTATATATTGAATATGTAGCTCGCTTTTGGTTTTTATAGGAGCTCACAGGCAAGAGTTTGATTTGAATCTCAGAGATTTAGACTTGGTCTTTGGGATATGCTGGAACTATTAAGACTATGTAATTCTTGGAGATGGACTAAATGCATTTTACATGGTGAGATAGACATGAACTTTTGGGGGACAAGGGCAGAATGTTATGGTCTTGGTAGAAAGCATCCCCAAAAAGCTCCTGTTGTTCTGTGGAAATATTCACAGGTAAAAATGATTGACTTGTGAAATCTGAAACCTAATCAAGTCCTTCCTAGTTTGAATAGACTGAGTGGTAACTTTAAGCAGATAGGATGTGGCTAGAGGAGATGGATCACTGGGGGAATGCCCTGGAAGGGTATGTCTCTCTTGTGTCACCTTAACTGTCTCCCGTGCCATGAGGTGAGCAGCTTTCCTCCACCACAACCTTCCCCCACAGTTTTTCTGCCTCACCATGGGCACAGAGCAACGGAGTTGGCTGTCTATACTGAGATCCCTGAAACCATGAGCCAAAATAAACTTTTCTTCCTCTAAGTTGTTCTTGTTGGGTATTTAGACACCTGATACAAAGCTAACTAAAATGTGGTCTTCTTTCTATTTCCATGAAAATTCTCTTTTTGCCCTTTTTTCTCTCTAGCTTCTACATATGTCAGAAAATATACTATGCCTGACTCTCTGAAACTGGCTTATTTCACTTCACAGGATACAGAAATGTCTCTTTTTTTGGCAGGAGTGGGATGCACGGATTGAACTCAGGGGCAGTTGACCACTAAGCCACATACCCACCCCTATTTTGTATTTTATTTAGAGACAGTGTCTCACTGAGTTGCTTAGTGCCTCATTTTTGCTGAGGCTGGATTTGAACTCGCTATCCTCCTGCCTCAGCCTCCCAAGCCACTGGTATGTATTACAGGCCTGTGCCACCATGCCTGGCTCAGAAATGGCTTTTATTGTTCAAGTTATTAGCTATTTTTTTTTAATTTTGGCCAACTCAAGTGATAGTTTAATTTTCATAAATTTGTATGCATGAGACACTAAACCAAAAAACCTGATTGAGAGCCTGCTTGAACTATTGCTGCACACCTTTTCTCCACAACTAACTTACTGCTCCAGTTCTACTTTCCTAACCAATGATTGTATTCATTTAATATACTATGCCTGAGCTATGAGCTTCTTTTTCATCTCAACCTTCCATGTGTATGATATGCTGAATTCTAAATGATAATCTGGATATCAAACATAAAATGTCACTTTTCTTAATCAAAGTACTCATATATAATACTGAGGATTCTTTTTTATTTACTACTTTTACTATTAATGTTTCTGATCTTGTGCCTGACTCTCATAGAGGAAATGAAATGGTATCCTTCCCTTGACAATGACAAGGCTAACACTGGGTTACTAATTGCAGGGATAGGTTAAGCAGAAGATAACATACTGTGTAAAACACTAGCAGACTCACCAGTTATTGTGTACACAGCAGTGACAGCCAAGAGGATAAAGATTGCCAGGTAAATATCCAATCCCAAGGCCAGCTGGATGAATATGGCTCCAGAAAATATACTTGTCTAAAAAGGGAATGGAACAGTCAGGATGGGAAAGAAACATGCATTTCACTTCTATGGGTTCTTTGCTCCAATGTCTAGTCTCCCTCACTTCTTTTCCTAGTAAACTCCTAATCATTCTTTTTTTTTATTGTTGGTCATTCAAAACATTACATAGTTCTTAATATATCATATTTCACAGTTTGATTAAGTGGGTTATGAAGTCCCAATTTTACCCCGTATACAGATTGCTGTATCACATCAGTTACCCTTCCATTGATTTACATATTGCC